TGAAAAGTTATCCCTCAATTCTGATTGGTTAATTGGAATGTTGTTCCAGGATCAACAAGGATGTTGATCCAGGAACATGTTGTAGTTGGTGAAATCACGGTCACCAGCAAGGTAACTGATCCAGGCCAAGACCTAGGGCAGGTTGTACTAAATGTTCATGTGCTATTATTATGAAGTCCAGTGAGCTAAATGATGTATCTCTCTTACTGGTCTTAAAAATGACAACTGGCTGCCTTCTTAAGAATTTCAAATATTTTTAGTAATATTTTCCTTCAATCTCCCACAGTTTACATCTGTATAGTTGCATTCTTTGCACTTTACGTTTACCGAAAACCAATTTATCTGGTTACATCACAGACACCATAGATCACATATGCATCTACAAGGATTAATTTCACTGAGAGATGAAACCACAACTCATGGCCCTCATGGGCATTGTTTAAATATATTATTGGCTTGTTGAATTTCCATTCTGTGTGCAGCATGGCAAAACCCCACTATTTTTCAGCAAATGCATTCTACAATTAGCCTTCCCCTGTGGCATCTTCATTCATTATTTACGCTGGTGACATCCACTTAATTCCACCTATTATAATGCTTGTATTGTCTCAAGTACTTTGGTTCTTTTAAAGTAATGCCCATTCAAGGTCAATTGTTCATGCCATTTAAATGATGAGTGCTGCTGAGTCTGAGTGAGATATGGTCACTTCACAGAACAAATTGCACTTTTCAGTTTTCTGCTTTAGTTTCACAATAAAAAGTGAAAATAAAAAGGCATTTTTAAACAATGAGAATATAGCCGTTGTATTGTTCTTTCAGAAATATTTACCCCATGTTGATTATTTTTCATTTTGCCCTGTCAAAAAAGAAAGACAAATGAAAGAAAGAAAGTTTTGAAATGACATGTGTTCTGTTACTTGGTAGAATGGTAATATCACTTTGCAAGATCTCAGAAAAAAAAATTAAATAAAATCAGATCACTCCTGCTGTCATGGGGAAAAAAGCTAGAAAATGTTATTAAGAACATCTCTAAAACGTTCTTGTAGCAAAATGGAAGCACTCCTCACAGATTTTACCTTTGTGGGAAAATGGCTGCTAGGAAGCTTCTCAAAAAAGCCTGACCTTAAGTTACACCTGGAGTTTGCTAGAAGCCATGTGACAAAACCCGAAACCAACTGAAAGAAAATTTTAAGAGCTAATGAAACTAAAGTTGAGCTTGAGCATGAGGTATAAAGCTACTGCCATAAAACAAGTCCCTAATGAAAGGATCTAGTGGAATGTGAGTGCTAAAATGTTCTGCTCATCAAAATGAATAATGCCATCCATCATAGCAGGCAATATGGCTCAGGTGCCTGGGAGATGGGCTTGATGCCTGCTCTTCACCAGACAGAGTCAGACGGCTCATAACCACTTTATTCTGATTCCACTCTAAAAACGAGATCAGTTACACTGCATGAAAAAGAAGACAAAAATAAGATATCCTCATATCACTTCTCTTGAGTATATTTCAAACAAGGATGCACATTTTTCTTCCACACCTGTCAATGCCAACAATTCACCAGCCATAGATGTTTTTGACTAGCTATGGAACTGTGATTTGCATTAGATAGATAGATAGATAGATAGATAGATAGATAGATAGATAGATAGATTTAATAGACATTTCAATAAATGAAAATGAGAAATGCTGCCTTGGCGACTACTCAGAATATTAATAAAACTATTATAGTATATAAATAATACTTAAATGGTTTGTGAGAGACTGTATTGTATACAGATTTGTGTCTATAATTTGAATCCCTGACATCAGCAAGGGTCAGATTATCATTCTCACAGTTTGACTAAAACCGTTTTTCAGTTTATAGCCAATAATTTTAAGTTTGTTTTGTTTACTTTTTATTTACTGTATTTTTTTTTCAACTTAGTTTATTTATTTATTTATTTTTTACTAGCATTTAGTGTTGTTGGTGAATGTTTCGACCCTGGTTACAACCTTAAAAAAGGCTTAGATTTAATACAGGAAAGGCAGACAATAATAAGAGTGCATCCCTCCAGTGCCCTACTGAAAGGACACACAAGGAACCCTTATACACTACCACTACATAATATAACTGACAGCATAAGTCACTGAAATAAAGACAGTTGCTAGGGAAGGGAACGGTGGCACAGTAGTGCTCTGCATTGTTTGATACAGTGATGTGTCTTCATGAAGTTTTATGGTCTTTCTCATAGCAAAGCAACAAGAACAATTCAGCTCCCAGATGTCTCAACTGCACTCTGTGTTGTTTACATTGTGTGGGAGGTTGTAACTGATAAAAGCCATGGCAGGTGGGCTTCTCTTTGAAGCCATCAATAGACTCAACAGCCAAACAGACTCAAAACTTTCCAGTCCCCCATAACAGGTGTCGGGACAAGAACAGGGAATTATGGTAAGTGATCAACAAAACAAAGTCAACAAAACAACCACACAATCAACCAAACATCACGCTAAACTTGTCACTTAGTAAGGTAATACAGTTGGAATAAATCAAAAGAGACTCGGCTATCAGATAAAATATAGATGGTTAGCAGCAAACCACTGACGCTGACAGCATCCATAGAGCTTGTTATTAATCCAATCGAAGCAAACCACACAAATGCAGGGCTTGAGCTCATGTGGCTGACCGGTAGCTAGTGTAGTGGTTAAGCTGATTCAGTGATCAAAAATTTAATAGAAATGTCAAGTACAGCGCAAAGTTGACTGGAAGCAAAGGCTGCACCTAGCCCTCGCCAAGTTGTGTGCTTCAGTCAAATGTTAATAGCTATTCAGGACTTGGCTGCTGCGAAATCCCCTTCATCAGAATGGAAATTGCCTTGCAACTTTTTAATGGGTTTATAGGGCTTTGTTGCATATAAATGGCTTAGGTAATCAATAACAATGTGTGCTTGTTGAGGCACACGCAAGATCACAATCACACAGGATCTCTATCAGCAAAGACACGCATTTTAAAGTCATTTGTATTGCAAAGGTAAAGCCTTTACAAGCATTCTCCACTTTACACTAGAGCCAGTTCTTTTAAATGTACACATCAATTGTCTTTAAGCAAGTCACAACACAATTGTTTCTATCTCTCTCACTCTCTCTTATCAACACATTTACCCACTATAGCATTATATAATGAAAACTTCATATATAATTATCAATATCACAGGAAACACTCTAGGCAATTGACATTTCCTTAAAGGCATAGTTCACCCAAAAATTTAAATTTTGTCATAATGCGCTCACCCTCATGTTGTTCCAAACATGTAAGACTTTCTTTCTTCTGTAGATCTACAGCTAAAGATGTTGTGCAGCATATTAGCAACCGGAACATTTTGGTTACTACTGACTTCCATTATATGGAGAGAAAAAAAAAACATTTCAGAAGAAAGAATCTCATACAGTTTTGCAACAACAAGAGGATGAATAAAGTTTGACGAAATTATTATTTTTGGGTGACGTAACCTTTGCAGTTCAGTTCGTTCTTTTAGAAACTGCCCACACCCTGAAAATGGAAGAATACAAACCCACCCTCATGTGATCTCATATTGAACTTGTAATATTTTGCATTTAAACAGATGGCAAACTCATATGACGCAGTATGAGTTTGCTCATACTAAAATGTACAACAACTACTCCCCTTGAGGAAAATCAATAGATTTTCAAATTAATCAAATTCAAACTGTGCATTTTTCCTAAGGCTGACTGCAACACCAACATTGCAACCTAACCAGGATTTAATCTATAGGATACATCTAGAAGACTGCATTTTCGTTGATTTTCAATGCAACAAAAGCAAATGGGAACTGGAGCTGTCATGCACAAAAAAGGACGAAACGTACCATGAATGTCCATATGATTCATGCACTATATTCCAAGTCTTCTGATGCCATGTGACAGCTTTCAAATCTAGTACATTCAAATCTGCCTTACATATGATGGGCACAGGAATTTGAGGTAAATTTGAATGTGAGAGTTTTGAAAGCTTTGGAGTTTTGGAATCCAGCATGACTCGAATGGAACATTTTGTCGTTTTTGGAGTCTTACAGCCCCAGTTCTCATTCAATAAAGCATAAGCAAAACGGTATGACATGAGAAACAATTAATGAGTTACTTTGTGTGGCTGTATGATTTGATCTAAAAGATTTGAGATTATAATGCACTGAACTACAGTATAAGGGAGAAAGTGTGAAGAGAAAACGCTGCTGTTAATTGCAAGGTTGTATTCTGTAATCCAGTGTTTGTTACAGTCTTGTTGCACTAATAGCCTCTGAATATCAAATGTATCAATAAATTAAACGTTTCAACTTAACTTTAAGGTAATTTGCACTAAAAACTGAAAAAAGTCTGTAAGGTATCATTCAAATGCTTGGAGTCGATGTACATGCTCATGTGGAATCACTGCTGCTCATTCAAAATGCGCACGATCTGAACTCTGCTGAAAACACGAGGAAGGAGACTATATGGTCCTCATCTTCAGTCCTAAGTGGTCATCGGAAAACAGCATTTAGTTATTTCTGTAAGAGATCGGAAAGGTCGGTAACCGTCAATTACTATTAAAAAATAGCAGCTTTACGTAGGCGACTTTACTGTCACTTAATTTAATTCACGCGGATGCATGTTTGAAAACGATCAAGATCTTTTTGCGATTTGCTATTTATTAAATAAATGGCAATTAAAATTCCTCATACGGACTATTCTATTGGATATGTTTAGCAAAATTAATATATAGGCTTTGATTTTTTTTTTCCCCTAAGACATACTACCTAACTTAACAGTGATTCCCATAATGGACAACATGTTGCCTAGTTATGCAGCTCACTAGGTCTTGAGATAGCCTGTATGTACAGTATAGGTACCTGAAAGGTTAAGCAGATGTCCAAATGTTCTCGCGGCTGAGGGTCCTTTAGGACCCAGCGGAGAGCTCAAGTGCGCGGCTTGAATACGCTTCATTCCCTCAAACTTACATTTGGAGATGATCGCTTTCAGCAGGTTAGTTGTTCTCTCCCGGGCAGGATAGGTAAGCGCTGAATTTAACTGGAGGTTTGGCTGTAATAACTCGCATTTTACAGACTGAGTGTCATTACAATGACTTTTATTGACAAAGGCTGGAGTTCTTATCAGTAAAGAATGTTCAGCTGGCCGATGAACATTTGACAGACGTGTAGGAGAACCTGTGCACTGCATTCAGTCAATTGCTGTGGAGTAACATTTCTGGGACATGATATGAACAGTGAAGACCGGATTCATTCACTGGGTGTTTTCTGTCTGGAAAACTGTCAAGGTGGGTTATTTTTGTCGCTGGCATGTTGCAAAAAGAGTCTAATCACCATCCATGTACAGGTATTTTCTCAGCATATCTGGACGAAATCAACTGAGGCAGGTATAAATACTTAACGTACGGTATAATATGACCCGTGTTTCTACATAAGAGATCGTTTAGGTGTTTTTCCTGTCTAATTAGTTATTTCTGACACCTCCAATTTGTCCATTAATCGATCAACGTCCTTATCCAAATGTAGAACTCTAAACGGCAGAGTTTACTTATTCTTAGAGTCATTATTTTTGCTTTCTGTTTTAAAGGAATGCATATCGCACTTTCAGTTTGTAATTTGCATAACGACCACAAGCTCATATTATTTCATTACGTTTCCACTCCTCATGCGCACGAGCTTTCCAGGTGCGGTCAAGCCATTGAAGATCAACAGTGTTTTGTCTCCAAAAGAAAGCGTTTTGTTTAGTGCTTTGTAGTTAAAGACTATTACCATGTTGCTCTTTCTCGTTCACACTCTTAAAAATAAAGGTTTCAATTAGAAGCAAAAAAAAGAAGCATTTATGGTTTGCTGCATCAGGAGAATAAGTTAAAAAGCCCCTTTTTATTCTGTAGTTATCTAAATTATCAATATGTAGGTGTTTTTAAGAACTCAGAAACTATTGTAATCTTTAAAGAACCATACAGTATATTAAACTCAAGAAGCCTACAGCTAATGAGAAGAGAGATCTTTACTCAGCCTAGCAAAGTACCATTAAAAAAAATATATATATATTTTTAATAATAAGAGGCTGTCCATTAATAATGAATGTCATAACTATATATGATGTTTTCATTTAAAAATCTAATAAGGGAAGATTACAGATAAATCACGTTTCAGTCCCTTAATGATTATTCATTAAATGGCATTTGTTTCCCTCATAACTGGAGCTCAACACTGATATGTTACTTCAGTGGAGTTAACTGGAAGGACGTGACTCTTTGTTGATCTCAGCGGTGTGGCAGTACATCAGTATGGGAATGAGAGTAGCACTTTAGACCTCATGTCACTTTGTGTGTGTGTCAGAGCATGCAAACCTTTCAGGAAAGAGGCATTTAATTATGCATGTTCCTTTGGTATGTGGTGAATATGGTCCGATGGGAAGCCAGCGACAGGCTGATTGACATTACTCATGGAAAGATTGATGTATTCTTACATGTTTGGAAGAACATGCCAAGCACTTTAGATATGTGAAGCTTCCCTGCAAAGTTTAGCAGCTTGCTTTATAAAAAGAGAGAGAGAGATTTAGAATTGAAATGTACACTCTTAAAATAAAGTTTCTTTATTGGCCTCTATGGTGCAGTGATAAATATCTACAGAAACTTGCCATTGCACTAAAGGTTCTTTGCAGTCGAAAAGGTTCTTTAGATTATTAAAATGTTCTTCAGAATAATAATAATAATAATAATAATAATGGTTCTTTTCAGAACTTTTCACTGAAAGGTTCTTTTGGGAATCCAAAATGGTTCTTCTATGGCATGGCTGTGAAACCCGCCTTTTTGATGCTTTATTTTTAAGAGTGCAGATATGCTTGATTCTTCTTTTTCTTACTGACATCACTAACACCATAGCAGATGCTAATCTGTCAGTTCAGAAACTGACAGAAAACAAAGCTTCACAACCTTAAAAAAAGATTACAGGGTGCAAAGCTGTTAGAGCTTGTTTCAATTTCAGCACCTGAACAGCTCCAGTCCCATTGCGCACAAAGCTACCATGTAAAGCATGTGGTAGTTTGTGTTTGAGAGGAAGAGAACAGTGCAGAGGGGGTTAAGGGACAAAGTAGAATGATCAAGGCATGTCAGCAGCATTGACACTTTGAGGGACAACAAGGTTAGTGGAAAGACCATTGAATAAATAGAAGTATTCACAGCGGCTTTACAGGGTACCTGAGAGGCTGTAACCAACACGAGCCATGTGCCATGAGTGTCTACTGACTTAAAAACACTTTGGTATGCTTCGGTTGTCTGGGGAGTAAAATACAAGTGGACACAGGGGGGGTGTTTTCAGAGGATCTGAGAAAAAAAAGTAGGGATAAAAAAAATACCCAAGCCACCGCTATACTTTTTTTTTACATGAACATATGGGACACTTGTAAAACATTCATAGTCCTTTTTTTCATAGCAAAACCTCTTATTTTTCTGCTGTTAGATTCAAGCATCAATGTAAAAAAATGTGTTGCTCTCTGTGAAGCAGAGAATTATGAGAATCTTTCAAATGGAATTTGCCCCTATTAAAGGGATAGTTTGCCCAAAAAATGAAAGATTGTGATTTGTTTGGCCTTATCTTTCCAAACCTGCATTATTTCTTCTGTGGAATACAAAAAAAATATATATAATAATAATAATAAAATTTTGAGGAATGTAGTGGTCGATCTTTTTGATGCAATTAAAATTAATGACGATTGAAGCTTTCAAGAAAAAAGACACAAAAGAACCATTAAAGTATCATAAAAGTACTTCACAGAACTCATGAACTAAATGGAATTTTAGTAGTTATTCACTTATAATCTTCACCTCAAAAGAGCATCTAATTTATCCTTTTGTGATCCACGGAAGAAAGAAAGTCATATGGGTTTGGAACTTAAGGTTTCATCATCAATGAATTATGAAAGTTTCTTTTCAGGTGAATTATTCCTTTGAGATTTAGGATGTACTGACATTGCAGTTCTGTCAATAATTGTTTTGATGCTATGGCTGAAAACGGACAAATAGCCAATTCTATACTATTTTGTGAAAAATCAATTAGTACAATACTTTTAAATGCTGCAAGTGAATTTAGGCATCAGTAAAATAACTGAAATTATGAAAGATGGATATTCATTTTGAGATCTGCTTAAGATTGCATAACGAAAAAAAATATTATAAAAAAATAAAAAAAATAAAATAAAACTAACATTTAGTTTAATTTATTTTGATGTTATGACAGATAACTGACAAATGGTCAATTCTGCACTATTTAAAAAAAATAAATAAATAATATAAAAATAGAGGCAACAAGTGAATTTAAGCATCACAACAATATAATTAAAATTATAAAAGATGGATATGGAGATCTGCCATGGAGATAACACCGATATTAAAAAAAAAAAATGTGTTGCCGATGATATAAAGACAGGGCAGTGTTGTGAGAAATAATGTTTTTACATATGAATCTCAATACCAATGTGGCGAGGAAGCCACTTCTAACCGATTTTGGAAAGACCCTCCTTTTATTTGTGATGAGCTGGCGCTTCCACAGTCTCCATTCATCTCTAGAAAATTCCAGGAAGCTCTCGTTCCTCTGTTATCTCCCTCCGATGTATTAGTTTCCTCTCTAATGCAAGCCTGATAAGCTCACACTTCTCAAATTCCTAGTGTTAAGTGCATGGGGAAAAAAAAGTCTCTCCCATCTCTACTGTAACCCAATCACAGGACTGGGAGTCTGAAGCTTTATCTGGATTAGGAGTGTGATAAAACACTTGTGTGATATCGGACCGCACCTTATCTATCCCTCTATCCATGACTGCCACCTTTAACTTATTGCCTGTTCTTGTGCTTTAGAGCAACCACTCTTTCAGTCCTATTACTGACATTTTTTTTATGAAACCCATGATGCTGACGGCTATACAGTAATGTCTTATTAATCACATCCTGCCCCGTGCCAGGGGCTGAACGTGGTAATTGGCTCCTTGTTAGACGTCAGCATGATTGACAAAGCACATTTAGAGGCTGCTCTGTCTCATCTATCATGGCTCGTCCCCCTATTTGAGGGGGCACGGACCTAATCAAGTCAACCAATCATACCCCAACATTAAGGATTCCTTATTTTGATGGATATGATGGAGAAGTGCATTCAGAAACCTGTTTTTTCCATACTGTATGGCCAATGTGTGTGCATGTTTTCATTATTGATTTTAAAAGATTGATAGTTACTGATACACTGTAAAAAGTGAAAATGTTACTCTAAAGGACTAGACTTACTGTATGTGGAACACAAAGGAGACATTTAGCAGTATGTTCATACTGCTCTTTTCCATATAATTAAAGTGAATGGTGACAAGGGACTTCGAAGCCAGAATGTGAAAAAGCACCATAAAAGAAGACCAAGAACAATAACAATAAAGATAACAATATTAGCTTCCACAACAATGGACGATAATGTTCTGTTTATTATAAGTGTGCATTGCAGATATGTAATTTGCCACTTTAAATGCTCAAGCTCAGCTAGAGAAATTGCTCCGCAAGCGATACCAGTTATATCATTCTTCTATGTCTTTATCATTCTATTTGTGGTGTGGACTTCAGTATTCTCATAGAATTAGAACAGTTATTATAACTTTATAGTTATATGTAGTTATTCTTGATGTGATCAGGCCTTTACTTACTGCACATGATATATTCCAAGTCTTCTGAAACCATATGATAGTTTTGCATGAGGAAAAGGCAGAAATGTATTAAAACTAGTGCTGTCAAAAGATTAATCGCGATTAATTGCGCATACAAAATAAAAGTTTTTGTTTACATAATATATGTGTGTGTACTGTGTATATTTATTATGTATATATAAATACACACACATGCATGTATATATTTCAGAAAAATATGCTGTTTATATATTAAATATATTTATATATAACATACATTTTATGAATATAAATATATACATGTAAATACATGTAAATATTTTCTAAATATATACTGTATGTGTGTGTCTTTTTATATATATATATATATATATATATATATATATACACACACATAATAAATACACACAGTACACACACATGTATTATGTAAACAAAAACGTTTATTTTGGATGTGATTCATCGCGATTAATCATTTGACAGCACTATAAAAAACATAATTAATTGATAATCTGTTCCCCTGGTGCACCTTTCAAATCTCATTAATGTACATGCATATTCAAATATGGTGCATTAAAATGTGTGTCACACCAGGTTTGATGGCAACAATGCCACAGATCGTTGCTTCTTATGTGTTGTAAATTATTTCAATGTACCAAATTTTATTATGTGCATATTTTAAAAACGAAAGAGAGAGATTTGAGAGCTATGACAGATGGGGTATTTTATGAATACCTACTTACGTTCTCTTCAGTTCCTGACACAAAGCTTTTGAATGACTTTAGAAGACTTAAATGCAGTGCTTGAATCATACAGACCACTTTGATTAAACTTTTATGATGCTTTTTTGTCACATTTGGAACTTGACAGCCCCCGGTCATGAGGGTGAGTAAATGATGACATAAATGTAATTTTTAGGTGAACTAGCCCGACAGCTAGTTCAACCTGACCTGACCCTTAAAAATGACTTTCATTTGCTGTAACCTGCTGTGGCCTGGTTGATTCAGTCATATTAAATGGATCCAATTAAATATTTTTACTTATATAAAACCAGTTACTTTTATGTTATCGCATGAAGCACATTTTAGGCCACCTCACAAACTATTTTTTGCAGTGTAGCACTAGTAATAAGGGCATCTGTCTCTGACATTAAAAGGTCTATGAAATCTATTAAGGTCTATGAAATATGAAGTATGCATACCATTTCTATATCTAGAAAAAATATTGGCCTCTTTCCACCACTGCTTGCCTCAGAACAGAATCCTTGAAATCTCAAATTGCTGAGAGACTTTTGAGGGTTGCACTGTGGAAAGATGTGCAGAATTACACGGTCTGTTTGTGCCTACAGGGATGTTTGGCTATTTGTCTTCCGTAATAAGCAGGTATTTTTAGGATATTTCTCTATGAAGTCCATCTCAGCTATAGAAAACACTTGACCTGCACCTCCTCACCTTTTCCACCGGGCTCCTCGTTATTCGCACAACACTAGTCCTGAAAGCTCCTCCGCTGACACATTCTTGTTTTCCTCTCCTTTTGTTCTTATCCCCCACAGACTGCTGAGAGCATACGGGAAACAGCGATGGACAGGCGGATGATCTGCAATGGCCTCCACTAATGGCTTCAAGAAGGAATTAATATCATTCTTTCACACCGGTGACCCGCGCTTGCCGCAACTTTGTCAAAACACACTCAAGCGCCCCTGCAACACAATCAGACAAAAATAAACAAATGAGTGAAATTAGAGCGGCCTAAGGAACCTGAGTCAAAACTGGCACAGATGCCAGTCTTTTTTCCCCTTTAAAGTTCAGTGTTACCACAGAGGCGGTCTGCCTCATCATCCTCTGCCTGCTTATTATCTATCAGACTCCATATAATGAGGCATCAGAAGAAAGGCGCAACCATGTACTTACTGCTAGTGTTTGTACTACAGACCCTGTGGGTGAGTTGGTGTCACGCCACACAGCATTACCCGGCCTCATGGGGGCACTATGATGTCTGTAAGTCCCAGGTTTATGCAGAAGACCGCCTGGCCTGGCACTACATGGCCTGCCAGCCTGAGGCCACTGATATGACCAAATACCTGACTGTGTCTCTGGACCCACCCAACATTACCTGCGGAGACCCACCTGAGATGTACTGTGCCCTGGTGAGTTTGATACATTTTTACAAACTTGATGTGACTAAGAGAATCACATAACCAGTATACAAAAACACACTACATTGCTTGTATTACATGGCTAGAATACTTGATTCTGATTGGTCAATCGTGGCACTCACCAGTCAACATTTTTGTCCATTGTGACAGGCAACAATTTAGATAACTTTGCTAGTTTCATGTCTCTCGTATAACTCATGAAAAACAAACAAACAAACAAAAAAGACACAACAAATAAAACAAATTTAATGTTCGAGATCAATTAAAAATATAATTTTACTGAACATAAATATAAAGTGCTGTTATGTTGTCACTTTATATAATAATCTTCAGTAAAATACTATTTTTCAATGGATCATGAATTTAAAATTTGTTTGGTGTGCAGATTTTTTTATCGGAGTGTCTATTTACACTAAGTGCAAATAGAGTGGTGGAACTATGATGTCACTTTGTAGGCAAAAACCCAGAAGCGAGTTAGCATTTTAGCACTTCCAGTTCCATCGTCCCAGAGTCAATGGGTTTTTTGAATGGGAGTTTGGTTAAATCCTCTAAAATAAGGTCCGTGGTTCAAACAAGCTCAAGATACTTTCACGTTTTATTCTACGACATAAAACACACCAGTTACACCCCACTCGTGTTTTTTTTAAACTGTTACATTTCAAAGACGGTTGCTAACAAGTTGCTAAATGGGACTACAGGCGTTGTCGGAGACATTAAACGTCATCATGCCGAACAGTTTATCAATTTACAGTATTTTCCAATTGCACGCCCCTTGAATGCGAAGCGGAGAAACAGCCTGTGTCGAGGGAGAATCGAAACATGAAAGTACGCGTCCTTCAGGTCGATCGCTGCAAACCAATCGTGCGGACGAACGCATCGAAAAATACGTTTCTGCGTTAACATCCTGAACGGGAGCATGTGGAGGGCTTGGTTCAGAACACGCAGGTCCAGGATTGGTCATAACCCACTGCCTTTCTTGGGTACAATGAAGTAGGGGCTATAAAACCCCATCTTCATATCGGCTGGAGGGACCGGCTCTATCGCGTCCTTCGCCAGCAGGACTGCGATTTCCGCTTGCAAGTCGGGGGCATCCTTGTTCGGCACAGAGGTGAACCGAATGCCCCTGAACTTGGGAGGACACCAGGCGAACTGAATCGCATAGCCGAGTCTGATGGTTCTCGTGAGCCAGCGAGACAGTCTGGGGAGCGCTAGCCAGGCCCCCAGGATCCGAACAAGCGGGACAAGGGGAACCACCGACGTACCCGCAGTGGGGCAGTGAGGTGGAGTGCAGGGACCCGACCCGGAAGGCAAAGCGTCCCGGAGTGGGATCTGAGTGCGTGGTGCGACACTTACCTGGCTCCATGGTTGGGCAGGGGGCGCGTGAGGAAGCATCGCGTCCCCGAGTCGGGCCCTGCTCTCCGCTGGCAAAAGGAGAGGGGGACAAAAGTGTTGAGGCTGTATCTCGCACACTGCCATCCTCGCCCTCTTGAGACCCAGAGAAACAGGAAACTGCTCTTTTGTTGAATGTTTGGGTCACACTGGCTGGTGAGCCAGTGGCGGAACAAAACAAAAAGGGAACAAAAGATTCTCCACCCGTCCCTCCTCCGGGGGAAGGAGTGGTGCGGACACCATCTCTTGAAGAGCAGGATTCAGAGTCTCCGGGTCGCCCGTCTCAGGAACGCCACTTGCTCTGGCGCTTTACAGACCTGGCAGGGGCAGAGACGGGCTGCGCCGCTTTCCTGCTGCCAGCTCCACGCTGCGGCCGATG